GGGGGGGGGGGGGGGGGGGGGGGGGGGGAGACCGCTCGGCCACCCTCCCACACCGCACCGCACCGCACGACAAACGCTTTTAGGTATAGGTGGAACCATGCACACACACACACGGACGACACACACACCGGGACGCACCCGCATGCAGAGAAGAGAACCAGGGGAGAAAGAGAGAGTGGCTCAGCTGGTCGAGTCGACGGAGAGGACACACGCTGGGCCGTGCCATGCACTGTGTCCGGCTATCGCACGGCACGTGCGCGTGTCGCCTCCCCTGTCCAGTCCACCATCACATCAACCAACCGGCTGTCCGTGGGTCGGAATTACACAGCCAGCCACAAGAGACAGACAAGGGGAAAAACACGCACCACCACCAGCAGCACCAGCACCACTTGCAGCAAAAGGAAAAGTCACTCACATTGGATTGGCCGATCGGTCACACCGCCGACCGCATGACACATCAGAACACAACACAACACAACTATCGAGCAGCGCAAAACTGGGCCAGCACCGCAATGGATGGACCACACGCCACGCAGTAACGACACAGAGTCATTTTGGTCTCTCTGTGTGTGAGTGTGCAAACAGAGAGAGACCCGTGGGCGTGGATAATGGCTGGCTGCTCGCGTGCTTGGCCGCTCGCCCGCCCTCACTCCTGCCTGCCTGCCTGCCCGCCTCCCTGCCAGCGAGCCTAGTGGGTCGATCAGGCCAGGTAATTGTACATGCGCCTGCACGGAGAATAGGATAGGATAGGATCGGCATGGCATCCCATCCCATTGCACACACAAACAAAACGCGACAGACAGAGAGGATAGGATGGTGTGTGTCCGTGTGTCCGTGTGTGGGGTACGGGCCGTCGTGTCCTTCATGCGTACTGTACCTGTCCTCCTGGCTTCTCTCGAGGTATTCCCTCTCGATGAGCTTCTCGATGCGCTGCTTTATCATCGTCGGGGTCGGGTTGAACCTAAACATATACACACACACACACACCGCCACACGGTGGCCACAGAGGGAGGGAGGCATCTGCCTGCACTGCACCGCACCGGACGCGTCGATGTGTGTCTTAATCTATCGTTGTGTGTACCGACCGCGTCTGCAGGTGTTTGGTGACTTCGACGACCAGCTGGTTGTGCTCTAGCTTCTTGCGCATCTTCATGATCCGCACTATCGCCGCCTCAATCCTGACAGACAATGAATGCAATGCCGGCCCGACGCGTGCAGTGCAGTGCACGTGTGAGTGAGCAGACCACGGCTGGGTGTCTGGCCGTCTGTCTGGCCGTCTGTGTGTGTGTGTCTGTTGTCTTACAGGTGTTTGCGGTCCTCCTCGACGTTAGCGGGCACCTCTATGGTGGTCGCCGCGCCCGCAGCAGACGAAGAGTCCACACCGCTGCCCTCCAAACCTGGATAACAGCACAACACACCAATAGGGGGTGGGTGGGCGTGTGTGTTGTGTTGTGTGTGTGGTCCACCGTGCGCACCTTTCGACCCGACGGCCACGAGTGGCACCTTGAGCCGCACCAACTTGGACTCAAAACCAGGGTTAACCTAGAGATGCGCACATCACAGTGGGGCGGCCCTTGCTCGCGAGACGGGGTATAGGTCATGTGTGTGGGTTGGTACCTCAAAGACGTCGTCGTCGGCGATGTCCTTGTTCTGGTTGTTACCAGCCGCGTTGGTCTTGAGCAGCAACCTGACACACACATACACACACACACACACACACACAGAGAGAGACAGAGAGAGAGGGACCGGTGCGGGCGTGTTAGTGGGCTGAAGGGTAAGTACGAGGGCTCACTGACTTGCACTTGGGGGAGACGTAGAGACTCATCAGATGGCGCTTCAACTCCTCTATCGGAATCTGAGTCAACTCCTGCGACCGCACACAGACCAACCATCATCCCATCAACGCGCACTCACGGGCATCCCATCCCCTCAGCCATCCGCCCCCACCCACACACATCCACACCACAGCACACAGACAGACCTGAATCTCCTTGTATGTGATCTTGTCCCGTTGGTTGAAGAGGTAGAGGATGCACATCTGGTAGGTCGTGCAGTTGAGGTCGTGGCGGGACTTGGGCAGCGTCGCCTTGATGTCAGCGGTGCCCTGCAGACACACACAAAGGAAGACAGAAACAACACAAGAGCTCGTGTGCGTGCCCGTGTGCCTCCGTCTCTCTCGCGTCAGTTGCGCATGGACGCACCCCACCGCCGCACCCACCAGATTGTATTGCCATGTGAGCCGCCGTCCGGTGTGCTTGCCCAGGTAGTAGGACTTGAAGTGGTCACACTCGTCCTGCACACACAGATGGATGGATGGATGGATGGAACATCCTCCCACTGTCGGTCCCCCCCCCCGCTCATGAGTGGATGCGGTGTGGTGTGTGTGCGGACCGAGATTTCTCTTGGCATGTTGATGACGAAGTTGCTGGCATTCGGCCAGTAGCCCGTCGTCAAGACGTGCACCTTCAACTCAACACACGGAGTCCGAGAACTGACACACATACACAACACAGACACACACACACACAGACACACATAAGAGAGAGTGGCGAGCGTGTGTGGTGTTTGTACCCCTGCCCCTGCGTCCTGCATATCCTGCGGTAGTCCTTCATGAGGTCGTCCGACAAGCGGATGTCCGTGAACATGCCCTCCAACTTGGACGTATACAGGTGACCTTCACACATACAAACAAACAGCGATTGCAGTCATTGCAGACCATGCAGATGCAGCCATGGATGGATGGATGGATGGCGTGCTGGGCTGCGTTGCTCACCGCATTCGGACTTGAGCTTTTGGATCATCTGCTTCTCGGCCTCCTCGGAGAGGCTGCGCTGGTGGAGCAGACGCTTCGACAGATGCTGCACACACGCATTGCACACACGCATACACGACAGACCCCACCCCAACACGTCAGTCAATGCATTCAACGCAAACGTGTGCGCGCGTACGTCCGTATTCACCTTCACCTATTTACCTGTTTGTAGTAGTTTTCGAAGACGTCCTTGTCCTGCAGGAATCTGAAGATGGTGACGACCTGCTCCAGCTTGGCCTCAATGTCCGCATCCGTCAAACCCTTCACAGCTGACCGGATCCATCATACACAAAGTAAGTACAGAGCACACCAACACACCACAGCACAGCACACACATATACAGGCAGGGTGTGGTGTGGTCGGATCGATGCGGTTGGCTGTCGGTGGAGTGTGGAGTGGGGTGGTTGAGCTCACTCTTCTTGAAGAGCTCGTCAACGTAGAGCGAGAGGAACTGTGCAGTGCGGGTGTCCTTGTTGATGAAACTCTCGAACGCCTGATGACAGACACACAGACAGACAGACAGGTGGACACACGAGAAACCCTTGTGCGCGTGTGTGGACATCTGCCTTTGGCTGCCTCCCCCCCTGACGTACCGCCTTGAGGCAGGTCTGGAACTCCTTGGCCTCGCCGAAGGACTCCTTGACAAACGAGTCGTACCTGCACACACCACACACACATGGCGCACCGCACAGGCCACAAATGCAATCAATGCATGTGTGTGAATGGGTAGGTGTGTGGGTGCATGGCTGGCTGACTTCTTCTTGAGGTCGAGCAGGGCGTCGATGAACATGACAGGCTCCTTAACCCTCTCGGGATCCTTCAGAATCTCCTCACCTGCGGTGGACAACACACCACACACCGACATGGCACGTGTGTTGTGTGACTGTCTGCGTGGCTGTCGGGGTGTGGTGTGTCAAGACAGTAGTAGAATATACCTCGGTCTACGATGCATTTCCTCATGACCTCCCGCACCTCGACAAGCGTGTCGGGGACGCGCTTGAACAACTGAAACAGACGCTTCAAATCTGTACATACATATGTAATGATGGGATGGACGGGAGCACACCAACAAAACATAGGGAAGGAGGGAGGGACACACATCATATGGCATTGGCGCGGACAGGCAGGCAGGCAGGCAGATAGTCTAATGTGTGTGCAGGTGAGGTGCAGGCAATGCAGTCATTGCAGCGACCCACCTACGCTACCTACCCTGCTTCTTGTCATCGTTGAACATGGCAGCGCAACCAGAGTTCTCAGCCTGAAGACACATAACATACACACACACAGCAGGCAGGCAGACACCATACAGACCAGACGTGGCGAGTGTGCGTGTGTGGGTGGTGGGTGCGATTCCTGTGTGGGTGCTTACGTGCACGAGTGCCTTGTGGTGCTTTTGGATCCACTCAGCGTCCATGATGGCCATGACCTTGTCGAGGCTGCTCGAGTGCAGGTAGTTGTCTACACGCTTCGTCTCCTCGCTTATGCGAGACTCAGCCTGGCAGGGGGAGCAACGTCACACCACACCACACACCACAAGGAGCCAATGACGCCACATCCATCCATCCATCCGTGTGTGTGTGGCTGGATGAGCGGACAGTACCTTCTTGAGGTAGTCGGGCACGCCGTTCTCCGAGATGTATCTCTGCGACTCGAGAGTGTAGAAGCGCTCCGTCTCAGCCAGGTAGAAGTCCTCAAAGTTGTCCTTGTAAACCGTGCGCGACTGCACGCCTGTATGGTATGCCCCCACACACCCACACACCCACCCACACACACGTACACTCCTCGGCTGGCCCGGCCTTCTTGTGTGTTTGTGAACTGTGTGGGTGTCGGCAGGGCAGGTGGGTACCGAGTTCGACGAGCATCTGGATGGTGTTCTTCATGAGGATGCGATCGATCTGCTGGCCGTCACGCTCATTCTGGATGTTCTTGAGCAGGATGGTCAGCAGCCGGTCCTTGACACGACCATGGCCCGACACCTGATCGACATAACCAATCGACACATCACATCAACCACACCACACACAACACATAAACAAACAACACATATGGGTGGCTGAGTTGGCGACTGTCTGTCTGGCTGTCTGTCTGTCTGGCTGGCTGGCTGACCTCTTCTCTGAAGAGGTGCAGGCCGAGGTCGAATACGGGGACCTTTCTGTACTGTCCGACGAAGTTGCGGTCCATGTACATGAGAATGTCGCGGATCATGATCATCGTCGTGCGGTGGTCCTGCCACTCGTCCTGCAACTTGTTCAACAACTCTACACAACAAACACACATAATGTAATATAACACCACCAGCCATGATGCAATGCACCAGACACACAGACAGATGTATGCAGACCAGACCACTGTGTGTGTGTGGGGAGGGGCGTCAGTCAGTCAGTCGGTCCCTCTCTCACTCACCGTCGTCGGTTGCGCAGATGACTCTATTGGCGACTTGTTTGAGGTGCTCCTTGACGGTGTCCTGCACACCCTTGTACAGCAGCTCACCGTACTTGTGCAACACCAAACTATACGCATTCCTGCAGGAACACACACACCGACCAGCACGAAGGACAGTGTGCAGCACAGCCGGGCAAGGCGCATGTGATGTGATGTGTGCCATGGCGCATCGTGTCGCATACTGCCTGCCTGCCTGCCTGCCTGCCTTCTCTCTGTCCGTGGTGACCGACCGACCGACCGACTTGCTCTGCTCCCTTCACTCACTCACCTGTATAGTTCTTCGAAGGAGAGTGAGCCAGCGTTGTGGTTGTGTATGTGCTGGATGGCCGTCTTGAGGCACTCCCAGGTGGCCATGGCGTCGCGCTCATTCATCGGTTCGCCGCCTCGAAATGACGTTCGAATCAGGTTCTGGCTCTGCATAGATATCTCGATGCTATGCTGGTAGCGGCTAGACGAACGATTCACTCAACCACCGACGCACCGACCGACACACCGACCGCACGAGCAAGGAGGGAAGGGCACGACCATGCGACGCACAATGCGCCACCCTCTCCAGCAAAAGCAACGTCGGCAAGCAAAACTTGCCAACACGCTCAATCAGCCACACGCGGCCTGAGTCAAGTGAAGAAGGAGTCAGCTGCGGCCACGATAACAAAGGGAGTCAGCTGCGCGCTATTGCGAGCTTTTGGCAGAAGGAGGCATATCGCAAGGCAGGCGTTTCTGGAGTTCGGCATCTAGCGCCAGAGTGCTCTATAGCACCTCGCAGCTTCCATCGCAGGGCGAGCCGATTTTGCAGCTTCCGGCGGTGTCTGCGTGTGCAGTGTGCGGTGAGGATGCGTAGGAAGGGGACGGTGACGCTATGCCTCTTTCCTCTGATGGCGCTGATGCTCATCGACTTTTTCATCACCCCCGCCCTCTCGTTCTCCCTCCCCGCAAGGACACTCAGCAGATTACGGGACGCAAACAGGCGGCGGACTCTGCTGCAACGAACTCGGAGATCACTCAGGCCGCCAGACGCCGACGCCGACGATGGACGGCCGCTGATGAGCGATGTTGACTTTGAAGCGCTCGAGAATGCGGCAGGCAGTGACGTGAGGCGAGATGGTGCCATGACGAGGGGAGAGCGGTTTAGGATGACGGGACTGAGGGGCGCCGGGCTGGGCCTGCTGCTGGCAAACGCCATGAGCGGCAGGGAAGAAGCAGGTGAGGGAGGGAGCAAAGCATTAACTCCCCACAGCTGCACTGCACTGCACCGCAATCAACGAATGGTGCGTGTGGTGTGGTGTGGTTGGGTGTCTGCTTGTGTTCAGTTGCGGGCGATTGGGGTTACGCGACTCAGGGCAACGACTGGCCCGGCATCTGCAATCCCGCCAGGATCACTCTGCGGCAGAGCCCCATCATGCTCAACGAGACGATAGCCATCAACGGACCCAAACAAATGAACCTCAAGATCAACTACAAGAAATTCGGCGTACCTCTGCTCTGCAACAACAACGGACACACCATTCAGGTGCGAACCCACAGCACAGCACAGCACAGCCACGGAAGAAGCCTCACCGAGTGCCTCGCCGAGTGTCTGGCGGTCCGTCTGCAGGTGCGTCCCGAGTCGCAGAAGTTTGTGGACGCTGGTCTCGGTCTGGGTGGCGTGATGGTCAACGGCCGTGACTATGTCGTGCGACAGTTCCACTTCCACGCCCCGGCAGAGCACACCTACGTATGGAAGCAGGACGCCGTACCCGAGAGGAGAGGACTCGAGCTCCACATCGTCCACCAATCTGCAAGTGAGGGAGGAAAAGAGGGAGGACATATGGATGCCATCTGATGCTCTCCTTCACTCAAGCTCACCCACCATCGTGTGTGTATGTTATGTGTGTCTCGTATGTATATCAATGTCTGTCAGTGGGTGACTTGACCGTGTTGGGGGCGACGTTTGAGCCCTACCCGAATGGCGCGGACCCCAAGAAGTTCCCTGACGCCCCTGGGACCTTCCTCAAGACGCTGCTGGGGCTCAAGAACTTCCCATCAAACACAGGTCAGCAACAGTCAACGAACGAAATGGACCGGCAACAAGCTCCAGAAAAGTAACTGTTTGTGATGTGATGTGTGGCTTCATTCAGGAATGGAGGTTAAGCTGCAGCCGAAGGAGGCGCGGCGGATCGCGTTGGACAAGGTCATACCGAAGAACGCACCCGCCTTCCACTACCTCGGCTCTCTCACCACCCCACCCTGCTCAGAGGTCGTCACATGGTGAGTGGTGGGTGGAGTATGTTAAATAAATGAGCCGCACAACGAGAAGGAAGCAGCCTGTCTGTCTGTCTGTCTGTCTGTCGTCCGTTCGTTGTGTCGCTTCTTTCGTTGCGCTGTGCGTGGGTGTAGGTACGTGTTGCGGGACCCTCTTTTTGTGCCGCCATGGCAGATCAAGACGTGGATAGATTTTTTCACACAAGACGGGTCGCTGGGCAACTGGAGGGAAGAGCAAAACACCGAACTCTACATCCCACCAAGGGTGAGTGAGCTCACGCACCACACCACCACGACACAACAGGACAGACACACCAAGGAAGGAAGGGAAGGAAAGCATCGTTGTGTGCGCGTATGGCTGTATGGTATGCCGGGTGTCTGTGTTCTGTTTGTTTGCAGGGTCTGCTCAAGACATCAACGAGGAACAACCAGCAGCTTTATCGGGTGCAGGTCGAGCCGCTGGTGACTGACAAGGGGCTGCTCAAGCTCGCATGACACCATCCCAACACACATCGCATCTGGCCCCTTCGCCCCCGTTCCTCTCCCCTCTCCCCTCTCGTGCCTTCATGCTGCTGCTCTCTTGTGTTGTTGGGTACTTACCTGGATGGATGGATGGATGGATAGGTGGATCGGATGGGTCCATGCAACGATCGGTGGTGCCTTGCGACGCCTCGCATAAAGGAAGGGATCAGTCAGTCCAGCATTGAACGATGATTGAATCCGACTACTGCGAAGCAGTCTGTCTGCATGCCAGCCAGCCAGCCAGATCGGTGGCTAGGTGAATGAGGGGCGTGTGTCCTCAGTACTGACTGAAAGTGTATGAGGTCAGAGAGATAGGAGGGGTTCGGGGGCAGGGGCGCGGGCCGAGGAGCGGCGAGAACAGATGGAGAGCGGACGAGAGATCTGAGATGAGATGATATGAGATGCGAGAAGGGAAGAGAGGAGACGATGACACGACTGCGCTGCCCAGTTTTGCCTGCCTGCCTGTCTGTCTGTCTATTTGTCGTGATGCCTGCCTGGGTCTGTCTGTCTGTGGCCTGGCTGGGGCGGCTGGCATGCATCACAGCTCCCATCCTCTCCGCTCCTAGTTGTGCTTGCGCATCGGTCGGCAGGCACGTTTGGGGAGTACACATTGAGTGCGGCCCGCCTGCAAGTCCTCTCTCACTTGCAGGCATGGCGTGTGCTGGCTGGCTGACAGGCTGAGTGAGTGAGGGGATTTGAGTATGATGGATGGGACATCTGTATGTACAGGGAGGGAGGGAGGGAGGCCTGATCGATCGAGTCTTTCGTTGTGCCTGCTGCCTGAGTTTTTGTTGAGCGAGTGGGTGCTGCAGACAAGTGCCCCGCCCTGTGGGTGGACGGATGGCTGGATGGATACGTGTGCGTCCGTGTCTCTTTATCCAAACGTGACAAGTGCATTGCGTGACGGGCAAACCCGTATGCATCCCCAGCAAGTATCGCTCTTAAAGGAGCCGGTACCGGCCTCCAGCCCGATCACTCTGCAATCAGTCAAAATGACTGTCAAGCAGACCCTTGATCACCTGTGAATGAAAGCAGACCGTGGAATAAGCTAGGAAGCTTAGAAGCATCACAGGCACGCACAGCTGGCTGCGTGGAGACGATGCGGAGACATGTTTGTGTGCACGTGGGAATGCTTGGTTGTGTGGGCTTCCCGCAGCCTACCAAGTGCATGGCATGCACCAGACGGATGCAGCGTAGCGTTGGCGCGGTCACCCGGTGCCACTTAGTGACGTGCATGGTCCGTCCAAACATACACGCGTTGTCCACATGGATCCCATTAAACGATCAAATTCACATCGCCAGCAATGTCTCAGGTGAGACACATGTGTCTGCATCCGACCCGACTTCTTGAACTGCTTCAGGGCGATGGCCACCCGCCGGATGTCCTTGACACCTGACACACGGACGTACACAGCCACCGAGAGAAATGAATGGCATGAGCCAGACAGACATGCAATGAATGCCTCTCTGTCTTCTGTCTGTCTGGTCGTCTGCGAGTTGAAGGGTCCGCTCGACACCTTGGGGCGGGGATGGAACACGATGAGAATGGAACACGTGTAGCAGTCGACCTGACACCCATCCATCCATCCATCCATCCATCCTCCCATCCACCCACAGAGAGAAACCAACGTGAGTGTCGATCGACCGATCGACCGTGGCCGCCCTCGTGAATGAATGAACATGTACCGGTATTCGGTTGTGCCTCATGTGCGAAGGGCTGGATTTGCTCAGGAGAAGATGAAGAAGATAGTCGATGAGCGTGACTACACAAGATTGGCCATGGCGGCTTTGCCTCGATCCATTGGTGTCGCCATGGAGGTGTTATTGCTTAAACACCTGAACCTCACACACACATCCCATTTTCCCGCCCGGGCACTGTACTGTACTGTGTTGGTCTTTCTCATACAGCTGGAGAAACACATCCTTGATCGATCCATTTTTCAATCCATCCGTATACTGTACGAGCAGCACGAGGAAGGAGATGCTCAGGGCAGACAGCTGCAGTAGCAAAAGCAGAGCGTGAATGACGGCTGCGTGCATTTCACCATAGTGGTGGCTGAATTGAGGATCAATCCGCTGTCTCTGCTTTCCAATGAACACAGCATGACTCACTCACTCAGGCACGACCCATACTTACATATACAGATGACCCATTCCAGGCCCTTCTCTCCTATGTGCCCATCCATTGATCCCAACACACGGCCACTTCGCCCCGCCTCCAATACGAAATCACTCCAATCCCATTGTGACGGGCCACCTTGATATACACGTCATGAGCCAGACACTTCTCTCTGGCCTGCCCGAGACATATGCGAAGACTCTGCCTAGCATGGCGCTGGCAGCCGGCTCACGATTCGTTCATTCTAGAGGGAAAGAGAAAGATATGGGCACAGAGCAGCCGGGTCGGACGACTCCGATTGCAGCACAAATCGGGGCTTTGCAACTGTGCGGCTGACTGCGCGCTGGAGAGACAAGGAGAGAAATGGCAGCCATGAGAAAATGCTGCGCACACGATCACACAGACAGAGAGACAGAGGGACATGAGGTGAGCACGTGCACGTGGACATTAAACACTTCGCCTGACCAGAAGATGGCGACCAGGAGCAAGGTCAGTAGTCTGCGGCGCACAACGCCTTTCTCGTGCCTGGAGGATAGCATGGGCAGGTTGTGCCATCTCATCATGACACACAGCACGCACATCTCGAATAGCTGCTCGAAAGCCACCAGTAACACCAAACCAATGCCTCCCTCCACAAGCTGCTCCCATGGTGCGCCCGCATAACCTTGGACCGTAAGCACACTCAGGTTAGTAAACAGAAGGGCCGTCAACTCGCAATTGGACCAGATGTGAATTTGGTCGCACAGCGAACGTAGGTACCTTTGGAGAAAAGGGTATAAAGATATAGTATCTCTGAGCTTCATGGTGTAGTGTACCATGACTGGGGATACCTTGGAGACACTTCAAGTAAGGTCAAGGCCGACTGCAGCCCTCCGATCGGACCGCAGCCCAGCTGTGCGCCGCTGAGAGAGAGCGCTGCGCTCATAATAGAGCTTTGACGCCTCAGCGGATGGCTATCATTTCTCTCGCTCTCCTGCCTCTCCATCGCATCATTGTCTTTGCCCATAGGTTGCCCACTTATAGCCTCCTCCTTGGTTGTGGCGAGGGCGATGTTCGTCAGCTGATGACCTGTGGGTGTTCCTTTGTTGGAGCAAGCCTGGGCAAGCCTCTTGGCCCACACACACAGCAGGACCACTGAAATACACACAAACGGAAACAAGAATAACTGTAGAAGAATGCACTCATCTTTCCATGGCCACTGACGCACGTACAGTAGGGGGCTGAGATGTCCGTGATCAGGTCGAAGAGTGACATGAAGACGCTGTGGACCAATTTGCTACTGAACTTGACGGCCTCGGACTGAAGCATTCTCGGGAAGAAAATGTATACCTGTTGAGAAATCAAATAGGCTACAGCCGAGGTTGTACCTCTGCGGGCCGAAATATCAATTCCTCAGCAATACCATCGCAGGCATCGTGATATGCAGCGAGTTGCATGTTGGGGGCCCCTCCTGAATACAGATTGGATCGTGAGAAAAAAGTCCGCTGTCATACTGTGGGTGTGTCTCTGTGTCAATTCGTACTTTGAGTGACCGCACGAGCTTGTTAACAAGTCCCATAGGGGCAAGAGGACGGCTTGGTAGATGACAGCCATACGTAATCGATCCCCATCAGTAGATGCTGCAGCAGCATACTTTGGCGAAAGGGCGTAGATCCAAACTAGGCCCATTGTGTATGCCACCGCGAAGGCTGCCGTAGCTTTAACCGTGTACTCTCGCTTGGCCCTCATACCCAGCGACCCCGCAGTGCGACGGAAGTACACACAGACGGCTACATATGTTGAGCTCCATATGATGGGAGCAATGATTTTTCTTCTCTCCTGGCTGTCAGAATGAAGCTGATGATCAATCGAGATAAAGAGATTCAGCGCCATCATTGGAAGGAAGAGGACCGACTCCTTCTTCAGCCGCGTCATCATTCTTTGCAGGTCGGTCCCGTCCGTGATGTGCACGGCGAAGAGAGGTATTGCGAGAGACAATATAATCCGGCGGAACACATCAAACACCACCCCGAAGATACTCGACGTGCACGAGTGCCCATAAATCAAACCAAAGCCAACAAGGACAATGGCGATGGCTAAGCTGGCCGCTAACTGCTGCATTGCGAATGTGAAAACCCGTCTCGTAGTCATGCAAAGCGGCTCCGGCTGAAACGTGGCACCGACAAGCACTTCTGCCGTGGTGCCGTTTGGATGGCTTATCGTCTTATACTCGAGCGTGGTGGGCCACTCTTCGTGAGCGGCTTCATAGCCCGCCGCTTCCCTGAACAGGCCAGGAGAACCGAGAGACAGTCATTTGTATCTGCATGATCTGCTCTGACGCTTCATTCCAGTACCTGAATTCACCAACCATCGCATTTATAATCAGCTCCTCGCGACGCAACTCACGGCCAGAGGACTCTCTGCGTGGGACGCTTGTCTGCCTCGCTTCATTCAACTTGAATGTCGCGGCTGTGCTCGTGGCTGATGTGACAGATGCCCGTCTTTCATCATCGCCATGCGTTGTGGCCGTGATGTGGTCCCCTGGTCCAGGTGCTGACAGTGTCTTGTCCTTCTCTTCAACGTCATGGTGCTGTTGGCTCCACAGGCTGACAGAGGATGAGAGATTGGACGAGAAGGTCGAGAGGGCGGCTGGCTGGTCTTCGCATTGGTCCCCAGCTGATTGAGGAGGCCTCACAGCCTCTCCTATCGGAATCATACTGAACAGTGCGGAGGACCAAAAGAGACAGAATGCCAAGACTCATCGGATTTTACTAGTTGAGGCCTTCCGGAGTCCGCGGCTTGGGGGCCGCCCCCAGTCTACCAGTCTCCGAGTCTCTTCCAAGTTTGCTAGCAGGGGACTGCGGCCAGCTGACAACACCATGTCCAGTGCAGGTGCTGCAGCCATCGACCTTCCAGATGATGACGGATCAAAGTAAGCAACTTTGACATGCACAATCATGGCGCAGAGATTCAAGACGGCACACACGGCTATTGTGTGTGGGATATAAAATGCAGTGGTGGTGACGTATACATGTATGACAGGATGCCAGGCTGCCCCAACTGGCCGCTGCAGAGAAAGATAATCCACAGCCAGTCGAGTGAGTGGCCGTGTGCGAAGAGACAAGGAGCCACGGACGGAGTGATAAGGAGGGGGAGAGGGGCCCCACCACAGGACTCACACAGACAGACAGATCGATGCGTGGATGGGCTCTTTTTTGTCTTGCTCTCTCTGTCTCGTCTTTCTATCTCTCTGTCTCTCTGTCTCTCTCTCTCTCTGGCCGTTTCTATGTGTGTGCGTGGGTGGGTGGGTGGGCGGTATTTGTCTTCCTCTGACAGACCTGTCTGCATGAGTGGATGGGTGCGTGAGTGTATGGTCTTTTTCGTCCCTTGTGCGTGCCGTGTGAGTCCTAAGGGGCGTGTATGTGTGTGTCTGAAAAATCGTTCGTTCATCTGTAAGCTTAGTCTCCTATGCCCGCATCCATGAAGCTGTCCCATCCTGGCAAACGCACATGCAGACAGACCTCACTCGGCTTCTATACCCCCAATGTCCTCCTCGCCCACTTCACGCCTCTCTCCCTCCTCGACCCCGACAGCAGCAGCAGCAGCAGCAGCACAGCTGTCGTCGGGCTGTTCTGCTGGCGGGGCCGCCTCTTCTTCTCTTGTCTCCTCGATAACAGTATTCTGGACCTCATCTCTCTCCATTTCACCTGCTGCAGCAGCTGGAAAAGAGAGGAGACAACAGCACACAACGTCATCAATGAAGACCGAGACATGACTAAAAGCACTGACCGTCTGTCCGCGAACGCTTCGACGGCTGTCCCTCCGCCTCCTCCATATGTTCATCCTCATCGCGTGTGCGTTTCATGTGTACCAGAGAAGGGGAGAAATCCGGAAACAGTGGGGGAGGGAAAAACGGCTGTCTCGGGCTCATCATTTCTGACGACGACCCGCTCGACGAAGACTTCTTGTCTTCATCCTCATCCTCGTACTTCGCCAGTATTCTCCTCGGGTAAAAGAAGTCTGTCCACACACACACGTCCATACGACGAGAAAAGGTGAGCTTCAGGGGACAATGTTATGCGCCACTCACTCATGCGCTTGAATTGAGGCGTCGCATTGGGCGAGGGTGCATCGATGGTGGGCGACCAGACACGACGATAGATGCGCTGGGGCGAGAGGGAGGGCGAGGGCGAGGGCGTGGGATGTTGAGCCGGAGGCTCCATCGCGTCATCGTTGCATCCAGACGCAGCCATCGGTCGAACTCTGTTGGATCAACGGGAACAGAGGGCCTCTCAGGAGAGTCGCTTCGGCCAGACAAGCCCTGCCCGCGCAGGACGACTGCCTGACTGCCGATTCGGAGACGGAATGGCCCCCACTGCGAGCTTGGCCCCCACACAGAAACGGTTCATGTGGAATCCAAGGCTGAGACAAACATGTGGAAGCCGTCCGAGGATGATCTCACTGCCGCAGAGAACGCCATCACACGAGGTACAAAGATCTGTTGGATCTGATGCGCTTCATTCATCTTTCGTCGTTGCTGGCAGCATCAGATCTGCCCCTGGAAGTGAGGCGTTCGCTCAAGCAGTGCCTTGATCTGTGGCGCACAGTTGCAGAAGAAAACACGGACGATGAATGCAAGAGGTGGGAGGCACTTCACTTCCCTCCGTGACGTTCTCTTCTCATGTGTACTCATCGATTGCATCTTCTCTGTGTTGCCTTACTTATCGCTGCATCAGTACGTCACGAGAGGACGTGAAGAGCCTCGCGGATGAGCTGAGCGCACGAGCGTGGGAAAGGTAAGGTGAGCAAAGGCAAAAGAAGCAGTTCACTCACTCACGCGTGTTGCCACCCGACCCTATCCATCAATGCAGGTTGCATTCCGGCCCTTACAAGGACGTATCGCTCTCGTGCCGGCAGCTGTATGGCCTCACCTGCCTCATCCAGTCGTCCCTGCACCTCACATCACTCAAGAGTGATGCGCCCCGTCCATCAGACCAAGACGAGCAGCAGCTGCAGGAGGCCTTCCGTGCAGTGGACCTCGGTATATATATTGCAAGGACTGACACTGTATGGGTGATGCGCTCGTGGCTGCCGGTGTGTGCCTGTGGAGGAGGTCTTCAGGTCTGATAATGGGCGGTGAGGGTCCGCAGCGGCAACTTCTTCTTGACCTGGCGAACCACTTGCAGCAGCTGTCAGAGCAGTGGGATGAAGCTGAACCACCAGCCAAGGTCAGCAAGGAGATTCCACACGAGTAGACCTTCCTGTCGTGCGGCACGGACAGGTCGTGATTGTGTCTGACAGCGTCAGCGCACTCAGGGGCCGCTGGAGCCGTCAGTGGCCATCCCCACCGCGGCATCTGCATCATCCATCCCCACACTTGACGCAGGTGGGTGCGGAGGGACTGGGGAAGCTGTTCTTCAAGAGCGCACTCATCGTGTGTACGTGCTTGCTCCTCAGAGCCCGATCTGGAGACGTTCCTGGTGCAGTTCTTTTTGCCAAAGAAGCCCGTGCTGCTCAGAGGTGTGTTCAGGTCATGGCCTGCTGTGGACAAGTGGAGGGACTTCTCCTATCTGAGGAAGGTAAGGTAAACAAACCTGCGACACATCACATCGATCGCCTTCGGGCCACGCAAAGCACATGTTTGTGTTAATGCGTTTCTGCAGGTCGCTGGCCGTCGCACAGTCCCCGTTGAGATAGGTCCGTACGTAAGTAACACGACTCACCCACCTGTCTGCCAGAAAGGGCGCTCGTGTGGAAGGGAGGGACCTGCCTTTATCTGTGTCTGTCTGCAGGCAGCAGCTACATCGAGGATGACTGGACACAGCGGCTGATGCCTCTGCGAGAGTTCCTCGACACCTACATCGCCACCCAGGCCGACCACCCGTCAGCAGCAGTGGCCTACATGGCGCAGCACACGCTGTTCGACCAGGTCCCCCAGCTGGCCGCCGACATTCCGATCCCGGCCATCACTGCGTGCGGCGACACCTCCACCCTCATCCGCATGGCCTGGATCGGGCCAAAAGGCACTGTGTCGCCGCTGCACACTGACCCTTACGAGAACCTGTTTGCACAGGTCAGGGGGGCCAAGTATGTGCGGCTCTACTCGCCGGAGGAAACGCCTAGACTCTACCCTTTCAAAAAGGTCACAGTGAAGGCAGCACCATTCTGCGGACGGTGTGGGTATGCGTATGTCGGTTCGATGCAGGGTATTCTGACCAACACGTCGAGTGTGCAGGCCGACATACGAGACGGCTCAGTCGATGCAGCCAAGTTCCCTGTAAGCAAGCGAGCGACCTTGATTCTGTTCTGTGTGAGCATTGCATTGCATTGCATATGTGTTCGTACGCTCATGTGTGTGGATGCAGGAGTTCGGCAAGGCGTCTTACGTTGACTGTGAGGTGGGGGCGGGCGATGCGCTGTTCATTCCCAAGGGGTGGTGGCACTTCATCAAGTCGCTCGACGCATCCATATCAGTGTCTTTTTGGTTCGAGTGAGGGAGTGAGCGGGCGTGGCGTCGTGTCCTACATCCCCATGGGGACGGACGGGAGGTGTGCATAGCTAGGGACGTACATTCAGAATGGGTGCGTGTGTGACGACAGACAGACAGACGGACAGCACTGACTTGATGCGTACAAGGAGTGAATGTCGACAGTCCTCGACAATCGCATGAATGCAATGCATTGCACACCGGCAGTGAAGTGCCTGCCTTATCCAGCCAAGAAGGGGGAAAGCAGCCAGTCAGATGCCCTGCCTGCCTCCCGCTCGGCTCGCTCATCTCATCCATTCCTTCCACCATGCGACCATCAGTCGCTTGGAGCCATCCAGATCAGACACATACACACCATACACCTTCCCAAACTACACAGCAGCCGTGTGCACGGGCGGTCTTGGTGGGGCGGCCACTGAGCGCGACTGCATGTTGATACGTCTGCAGCAATGGCACGAACACACCGACCGCAGCGATGCATGCATACGACACGCACTCCTCTCCTCTCTCCTCGTTTGCTCGCTCACTTGAGGTTGTTCTGGTAGGCGTTGAGCATCCTCTTGATGGCCATCGCATTGGTGCCATCCACCAGCACCACCCGCCGTTTCTTCATCTTCTTCTGCCCGCTCTTCTTGCTCAGGAGATGCTGCCTCCCCACTATCTTGCGCATCAGCTTGCCCCCAGCCGTCACCTTGATCCGCTTCGCCGCAGCCTTGACCGTCTTCCTTTCTCCGGGCGTGTGTTTGCGCATTGTCAGGACGCTTCGCGTCGACGGCAGCGGCATCGCAGAGGGGGAGAGGGCGAAGGGGGAGGGACGCACTGCCGCCACGTGGGGCAGAAAGGCCTCAGAAGACTCCAGCAGCAGATCACGCAGAACGGACGGGTGGATGTCAAGATCTTCAGATGAGGCCGCTCCTGCCTTCATGACGAAGGCCGCGACGGCCGATAGGCACACCCACGGCCACTTCATTGCGCAGACGGGTGGAACGGAGATCTACGGAAAAAGCTCGCAATTGATGGAGGGGAGGAGGACGTGGCCGGTGGGTTGAGATTGTCAATGACTCATGGAGAGGCTGTGGCAAGGAGAGTAGCATCAGTGCAGGCTGAAAGTCTGCCGCGTGACGAGCGGCAGTAAAAGCTCTCCGGCCGGGAATTGAACCCGGGTCTGCCGCGTGACAGGCGGCGATACTAGCCACTATACTACCAGAGATCTGGGAAAAAGCGAGAAACACTGCGCATGGTCACGACCAACGTACTAGGCCTTGTGTATGGCGATGGGAGAGAGCGTCTCCACCTTGTTTGTCTGCTGTCACGCGGCAGACCCGGGGGTTTGACCGGACACACTGCCTCTGTCACCAACGCATGGAATCAGATGGGGGAACCAAAGCTCGCGAATTCAATTAAAGCTCGCACGGAGAGAGGAAGAGGAGAGACGCGCCGCGGCGCCATCACCACAACAACAGAGTGTGGCTCGGTGCAGCTTGATAGACGAGTCTGAACAACGTCGCGGCATCGCATCCACTGAGATCTCCGACACCGCAGCGGGCCTCTGCGTGGAGCCTCAGACGTTCATCTGCAGCGTGTAGCTCACAACAGGCGGCCGAGTATCTCATTAAGGACGGGGGAGACCCATCGGTTGTGTCATCATTCGCCAGCGTCAGTGCGTGAGAGCGTCACATCGGTGGGTGCGTCAGGATGTATCGCATCAAGGTTGGCTTCTCGCGCGGCAATCTGCGTTGGATGCTGATTGATCCCAACATTACGTGGGAGGATTTTAAGAGGGAGGCACTGAGGAAACTGACGGGACCCATGACAAAGCTGGACACCAGGTAGGTGCTGGTCAAATGGGAACACACAGAGGGAGGCAGGCAGGCAGGGAGAGGGGGCCGTGGAGGGGGTGGGCGATGGATGCAAGAAGGCCGTGGGTGGGTGCAGAGAGGGATGCATGGGTGTTGGCTGTCTGCACGAGACAGAGTGGCGTCTCCCGTGTGTGGACGTGTTGATGTATGTGTTTGTGTGTTGCCATGCCATGCAGGCTGTTGACAGCTCATTGCGATGGCGCTGCCGTTGACGAGATATCATTGCTCCGGGAAGGTCAGTCGATCCTAACTAACAGTGCACCCGTCGTGCACGTCACAGGGCTGTGCGTCGGTCGTTTCATTTAGGTGATGAAGTGATCTTGCAAACCCCAGAGGTGAGTGCCTGAGCGCACACACCACACACCACACACACAGACACGCTCATCTGATCTCATCTCTCCCTGTGTTGCTTGTGTTCCCCTTGGTTGGTTGATTCATTCGTTCAGTACAAGGAGGAGCATGACGACCTGACCGAGAGCACCAAGCACCCAGCGTCCGACTCGCTCGGCAACGTGCAGCAGTCGAGCGACAACCTGGACGGCATGGAGGGGCCCGACACCGACAGGCAGCGCAACGCCGGGATGCTCACCTCGCCGGAGAGGAAACGCATTCTCGTCACTTACGAGGTCAGTCGGGCCTCCCAATAGAGAGAGTGGGGGGAGGGGTCTGTCTATCCAATTGGATATCACTCATTGTATGTATGTGTGTATGTGTTTATGTGTTTGCGTGTAACAATGATAGGCTGAGGACGATGGTTCGCAAGTGACTGTGCGCAAGGGCGACATCGTTCAAGTCTACATTTACGAGGACTCGGGATGGGCATACGGAGAGTAAGGCAGACAGACAGACAGACAGACCATCACACACTCATCGAGGGGAGGGAGGGAGGGAGGGAGGGACACACTCACTTCGATCACATTTAACTCGTTGCCTGTCTGTCTGTCTGTGTGCAGGACCCCATCCGGCCTCCGTGGCTGGTTCCCCAAGCACTGCATCGCCGACCTCGCCACCCCGCCCCGCGTCCTAGACCCATCGCAGCCCCATCCACACCCACACGGGCAACACCAACCCCCAGCCCCACAGATACTCACACAAGACAAGCCCGGTCCCCGCTCCCCACAGATCATCCATGCCCTCGCCCGCGTCAACCAGCACCAGCAGCCCAACCCATTCTTGCACGACCAGCAGGACCACGGCCTCTACAACCGACAGCCGCCATACGGTCAGCACCCGCACCAGCAGCACCAGCACCAGCAGCAGTCCAACGGCATGCAGCAGAACGCATTCGGCGGCCCACCACCACACGCACAGGGTGGCGGAGGAGGCGGGATGGGCCGCGGGAGGGGCGGGCCCATCCCCATCCCATTCAACGCATCCGCGCGCCCCAACATGGGCCGGAGTGGGAGCGGTGGGGCTGGCCCTGGCCCAGGGGGTCCGCAGGGCGGGGTCTTCCCTGGCCGCGGCGGTCCTGGCGGTCCTGGTGGGCCGCAGCCTGTGCGAGGCGGTCCGTGGGAGCGGCCGCCCGCCAGATGGGGCAGCGAGAGGGGCCAGGCGGCTGGAGGGGGTGGGGGTGGGGGCGGGCCAGGCATGAGGCCGCCTATGGGAGGAGGAGGCCCAAGGGGACCCAGACCACCACCCCCAAATGACGGTACGCTGAGACAGAGAGAGAGACAGAGAGAGAGAGAGCGTGAACCTTTCGCTTCGTCTGTGCATCCATATCCATCTGTCTGTCTGTCTGTCTGTGATATCCTTCATGTCTGAGCAGGGTGGGGCCCTCGTGGCGGCCAGCGTCCGATGTCGTTCGGCCGCCAGAATGTGTCCGATCAGTCCGACGCATCACCCTACCATGACACCCGCCGCGGAACCCCCAACACCGTCTCGCGCTACTTCGACCGACATGACGACCGCGAGAGGGACGACACTGGCGGCCCTCGACGGCCGCCGGGGGGTGGGCCGGGGGGCGTGCGGGGCCCTGGGCGCCCTCCCGCCAACAATGGTGGGTTCGGTGCTTTTGAAAGGAGGGAGCCGATCCTGAACGAGCGGCACTTTTGCACCCAGTGCCACAAGACCGAGATGGAAATCGGACGCGTGATGGAGGTCAGTGCGTCCGTGGATGGGATGGATCTGCGGGTGGGTGCGGTGCGCGAATGGAATGGGGGGAGATATATATACAACGCAATTGGCCCCGCGTCTCTGTGTGATGTGCCTTGCAGCAGTGTGAGGGCTGCGGCTATGCGAGGTACTGCAGCAAGGCGTGCAACCAGAAAGACGCGCAGCGGCACACCGAGTCGGGCGAATGCGAGAAGTTCAGGCGCGCGGTGAGAAATATAGGCCACCCCACCTCAGCCCATCAGCTCATCTGCGTGTCTGTCTGTGTCGACATACACTGTCGGTGTTTGGATCAGAGGGAGCAGTTCAACGCCACGACAGAGTATCGTGGCCCTCGTGGCGGCAGCACTAACTCAGGCAGCTTCCGTGGAGGAGGAGGAGGAGGAGGAGGAGGACGGTAAGCCAACACCACAACACACACCATCCATCCCAGACCCAACAACACCCCTCTCCCTCTGCCCCTACATCCATCTAGGTCGTCATTCCCGTCCTCCGACGGCGGCCGCCACTTCGCCGCGTCGAGCACGTCCCGGTACCCGCCCCGGCCGCCAGGTCAGCGGTACATCCCACTCGACAGCCCGCCCTCGCGGCCCAAAGGCAACCGGTCGCTGCACCGCGACCCTGGTGCGGGCCGCATGGCGTCCATCTGGCCCGATGAGCTGGAGGAGCAGGACCAGAAGGATAACACCAAGGACAGCGACAGTGCGGCGGTGGCGGAGAATGGAAACAAAGATAAGGACAAGGCCAAGGACGGCAAGAAGGACGGCAAGAAGGACAGCAGCGGCGGCAGCGGCAGCAGCAGCAGCAGCAGCAACGCGACGGCAGACAAAGCGGGTGGTGCTGGGGGTGGCGGTGGTGCGGGCAAGGATGATGCCTCAGAGGGAGGCAAGAAGGCGTCGGCGTCTGGGGGCACGGAGGGGGACAAGAATTAGTGACTGAGGGAAGATGGACGGACGGACGCAATGCCTATTTGTACCTACCTGATCGTGGGGTGGGTGGGTGGGCTGGCGCGTGCAACCGTGCCTCTGACACGGGGAGGGGGAGGGGGGGAACAAGGGCGGGGGGGGGTGCTCTTTGTGTGCTGCTTGGGCGTCTCTTCCTCGGTTCGCGAGTCAGGCGATGGCCACCTCACACCGAGACGGCTTTTCGCTCACAACTTATGAGGGAAAGGTCGTTTGGGAGGGCAATGCCATCGTCGCGCGAGCTGAGGGGAGAGCGACACGGTCGGTACTGCGTCACGGATCACACGTGGGTGTGGGGGCTGGGATGGGTTAATTCGATTCACAGGGGGTAGGTGCATGGACGGACGTTCGGATGGATGGATGCCCGCCACATAGGCTCTCGTCTGCCTGTCGCTCTCTCTGCCTCTTGGATCCCTCCCATTTTTGATGTGACGTCTGCTCGCACCTCGGCCGGCGGACCAACCAACCGACCGACTGACTAACTGACACAGACAGTCTGCTGTCTCTCGCTCCCCACTTGCATTCCCGTCTGTCTGTCTGTCTTTCTGTATTTGTTGAGAGCACGCCCGTCCCCCATGCCGCCCTCCCTCCCTCCCTCCCTCCCTCTGTCGCACGCCAGCCACCACCGCTCTCCCTCTCTCTAGCCACCTAGGTATCCTATAGCCCAATGCTAACTAACTGCGTGGATGCGTGGTGGTCATCATCCGTGTGTGGTGTGGTTGATTGGGATCAGTCAATGGTGTTTTCTGCCTTGCTTGCTTCACTTGCTGCCCGACGGTGTGGTGTGGTGTGCCGATGGCCTGGCCCGGCCCCCCTGCTTGCGGCCCGGATAGCTAGCCCCTGAGGTCTAGCCTGCGTGGGTGGCCACGTAGTGTGAGTCTCCCTCTCTCTCTCTCTGTCTCTCTCTCTCTCTCTCGCTCTGTGTGTGTGTGTGTGTGTGTGTGTGGCGAGAGTATCTGTGGAGTGTCTTGTCTGTCTGTCTGTCGCTGCGTGTGCGTGTTGGTGCGTGTTTGTCCATTGATTGATTGATGGCTCGTGCTCGTGTGTGGTGGTGATGTGATGGTCAGTCATTGTCTTTGTTGGTTGACTGGATGGTTGGGCGGGCTGTGGTGGGTGGCTGGGTCCAACACCACTCACTCCCCACCCATCCATCCATCCACTCAGCCATTGGTTCATTGCACTGTTTTTGCTCGGCTCATCACTCTCTAGTGCAGTGCTGGCAAACCTTTCCTCTGACTCACTGACGGTGGATCCATCGGTGGGAGGGATGCATCCACACACACCTATCTGCATGCCTGCCTGTCTGCCCGCCTCTGTGTGTGTGTGTGTGTGTGTGTGTGTGTGTCGGTGCGGCCATCCGTGACGGTGGCATGACGGGCGGAGAGGCGTGCAGATCAGATGGACGTGTAGGCTGCCAGAGAGCACATTCCATTCATTATTCCTTGTGTGTGGGTGTAAGATAAAGGACCGGCTCATCAGACACACACACACACATACAACATGGGACGCAGTGAGTGTGCTGCTGTGAGTGAGGAGGATGTGGTATGTGGCATGAGTGAGTCAATGCATGAAGAATGAAAGCTCGATAGCTCGCTCATTCACGAAATTCGCAAACCCTACGCACGCATAATTAGGGGTCAGCTGAGCACTTTATCGCTCCCCCCGCCCCCCTGCATTGGGGAAAAGCCTCCCGGTCGCAGGGTTCCAAACCCTGCGAGCTTAGACGTGCTGGAAGGAAAGGGAGGCGCCCAAAGCGCACAGATCCCAACAGAGAGGCTCACAGGAAGGCCATGCACGCAGCCAGGAGCAGCCAGAAGGTTAAATCTCTGCTGCTGACGTGCCTTTGTGTGTGTCTGTGTCAGAGATGGGCGTGTTGCGCCAAGGGGAGTGCCCCTGTCCTGGTGACGCACAACAAACTTACCATCATCTGTATTTCAAGAAGGTCATTATATACCAACACACGGTCTCCTGGGATGCTGTCCTTGGTTTGCTTGAGCCGTAATTGTGTCTGTATTGGTCAGATGCTCCGCTTAATTGCACCAGGGAGTGGATGGGATGGATGCATTGCCGCCCTTTAGATGTCACCGTGTTGGGCGAGGACATAGGTCCCTGGTGCCAGAGGTTCAAGGGCTCACGGTGACGTCACACGAGGAGGAAGGCACATATATTCCGAATGCTTGGTGCTGTGTGTGACGTGCTGCGACCCATGCGGCTCGACGAGGAATGCTTTTCCTTAGGCATTTTGCAGGTCATTATGTCCGCCAGCGAGAGGGCTTTACGGTGGTGTGGGCCGCGGGACTTTTGGAGCAATAGCGGAACTTTCTAGAGGGCATTTGTTTCTGTGGGCATAAGGCTGAGCATCTGGAGGGAGTCAGGGGGACCTTGCCGCCCCTACAAAAGTTCCGCCCGCCTCTCTGCTGCCCTACAAAAGTTCCGCCAGCCTCTCTGCTGCCCTCTGCTGCCCTTCAAAAGTACCGCCAGCCTCTCAGCCGGTCTTTATCTCATCGCTGAGGGTGCTGCTGCCGTCAGACAGCACTCACAAGGAGCATGGCTCGTGCATTGGGATGCGCTGCTGCTGATATGCGGCCGTGTGCGTGTGTGCTGCGCTTCAATGGCCGGCTGCATCGACAGCCGCTTAGGTGTGCCAAGCAGACAGAGCGAGGGCGGATATTTCTGTGTGTGGCCAATCTCTCTCTCTCTCTCTCTGTGTGTGTGTGTGTGTGTGGGTGTGTGGACGCGTGGAAACCTCTGACCATTCTGCTGCTCGGCGGGTGAAGATACTGAACTGATTCCGACACATTGCCGGCATGGCTGTGTGCATTCACGCACTCATGTGTTTGGCTGGCCTCCCTGCTGCTGCACACACACACACACGTGTGTTTCTCTTGTGTGTGTGCAGCACCAGCAGCAGCAGCAGTGGATGGCAACGGACGGATCTGCCTTGCTGCGGTCTGAAGGCCTGCCACTTGCAATCCCGTCTGTCTGTCTGTCTTTCTGTATTTGTTGAGAGCACGCCCGGCTGCCTGCCCGTCCCCCACTCCCCCACTCCTCCCTCCCTCCCTCCCTCCCTCTGTCGCACGCCACAACCGCTCTCCCCCTCTCTAGCCACCTAGGTATCCTATAGCCCAATGCTAACTAATTGCGTGGATGCGTGGTGGTCATCATCCGTGTGTGGTGTGGTTGATTGGGATCAC